GTTACTTCTAAATTAAGCAATTCAATCAAAAAGAATATAAGACTCACTAGTTAAGAAATTGAGTCTTAAGATAAGAACATGAGTTCTTGTATACAATGAAAATTCTGAGAAGTTTCAATCTAGATGATTTAAGCTCTATAAAATACTTAAATCATATTCTCTGAGAACATACACATTGAAAGAATTAGAGAGACAAGTCTTATATAACTTAATAAATAATTCATATGTTATGAAGATGAAGATGTAAGACCTGAGCAGATTATGATTATTCACAGCACTATTATCAGTATTGAAAAAGAAGAGACTTATAATTGAAAAGTTTTATGAAGTAAGAGAAATTATAGACACTTATGAATCAGATGATCTCACTTATTTCAATCTTTTCACAGTTATAAGAAAAGAATGAGAAGAAATGAAGAAATCAGATAAATATCACACTTTAATAAGTGATGACACTGTAACTGATTGTAAAATAACACACTGTAGATAGTGAGTGCAACATAATAAAGAGTAGTCTCAAAGTGACAGACTTGCACATGAGTTGAATTGCAGAAGAAAAAGGAATTCAGAGTTGAATTTAACTGTTTATATCAGTTCAATTACAGAGACTACAGAGAACAAATCATCTGAAACATCTGTAGATATGTGAGACTAAGTTATCTCAATCTCTGAGAATACTCAGAGATTGAATAAAATTAGTTTCAATGAGCTGTTCACTGTAGTGATCTGAGCAGGTGAAGAGAGATAGTATAATATATAAGACAGAATTATAAAAGATAAAAGCTGCTGAATCTAGTTACTGAATGCTGTATTATATAGAGATTGTGTAAGAGTAGTAACTAGTAGATAAAGAAAAAGTGTAAGAACAGACAAGAAATAATGAATTAATTATCAACTGTAAGAGTTAGCTGTAAAAGACAAATGTTATTATACACATGTTATTTTTTTTCATATATCACACATTTAATCTATTTTCAATGCCATGTTACCTGAAAAATGTCAAAAACAAAGAAAATCTCAAAAATCAAGATTTACAAGAGATTTAAGAACTGTAAGTTACTCTCTCAATAACACTGTACATGTCTTCAATTTCTCTATCACTCTGTGTATGACATTAATGTCATTTATCACAAGATTGACTGAAATGCTAATATAGAAATGTGTACACATATGTGTAGAGAAATTGAAGAAGAGCACAGAACTTATAGACTCAGAAGTCAAGATAGAGAAGATGAAGATAGAAGAAATAAAAGAAGAAGAGAATGCAGAACTGAATGAATAACAGCAGAAGTCACTCAGAGTTAAATACTTATAATCTGATATGTGCACAACCTTTCTCACAGAGAAGAAAGAGAAAGTGACAGAAGAAGCTTAACAATAAGAGAGAGTAGTCTCAGCAGCATAATTATCTTTCATTAGAATGATCTCTGATGCTAAAGCAACTAAGAATCATTATTAGTATATAAAAACTATAAAATCAGAGATGAGAACAGTTACTGAACAAATATCTGCTGATCTTAGAGTTATACACACAATTACAATATGTATAAGACTTCTCAGAAAGAGAGAGAGAGACACAGAAAAATACAGAAAGCAGAACACAGTGCATGAACAGCTCATTCTCACAATAACATCTTAGACAAGATATACAAGTCTTATACTTATAAGTGTAAAAGAGTACAACATCTGTATTCTTATTCTCAAAAATATGAATATCTTTTATCTGCATCATGAAGTCAGACAACAGATATCAGAGAATAGATTAATATGAATCTATCATCTCAAAGAAATTTGTTAGAGTAGATGTACCTGTAATATTGAACTTTACAGTTGTAAAAAGTTTCATGATATCTGTGAATATTATAACTTTATATACAACAAAACCTATAATAATTTCATCTAAGAACAGAAAAATCAGTATCAGAAAGAAAAGATGAAAAAGAAAAAGACTTATAATCTTGACACTGTTAAGAGAGAAAGTGATTCTCTGATATGAATGAATAATTATCTTATTATAAATATTTAAAATGAATATAATAATCAGTATCTATAACTAAGCTTCAGATAGTTATATTATATACAGTCTTTATATAATAAATTATTCTAGAAGTCAGTAAGAAGAGCAGAAGTATATACACTGAGAAATATAATTCATTAAGTCTATACAATATCTTCTTGAAATGAGAAGAGCTGATCATGAAAGCAGAGACAGTAGAATCAGAGGGAGCAGAAGTAGCAGAAGTAGAGATTATAAGAACAGAGATAGTAAGAGCAGGAGAACTAGACACAGGAGCAAGTGTAGAAGATTGAGAAGAAGTGACAGAGAAAGAAACAGAGAAGAGAGCAGCAGAGAAAGAAGTAGCAGAAGAGATAGAAGAGAATATAGAAGACTCAGTCATACATAACATAAATAATTGATTCATTATCACATTTCTCAAGTTCTCAATCAATGATTCAATATTGAGATCATAATTATTGATGAATGTGAATCTGTCAATGTATAAAGATTCTATGCAAATTAAAACAGAAATATCAGCATCTGCAGTTATATAAAATAATTAGAAAAACATGATCAGATATCTGCTGAAGAAAAGAGAGTCAGAGATGTATAAGAAGGTGAAGAAGATGTGTCATTCATAGTAGTATATTCTGATAATTATTAGAAGATAAACAAGTTCTGATTATATTTCATAATATATTATACTTACTACTAATGAACTGCCTGATATGAGCACTATGAGAATACTTATTATGAAAATGAAGAGTTATTATCAGAAACACATATAATGTAATAGATGAATAGATAGAAAGTGTTGAATAGAAGAAGAAATAGAAATCTTAAATAAGATGATAATATTTGATGATGATAATGATGAAGAAGATGATTGAAGAATAAAAAAGTTAGTGAATAAATGATATAATATAGTGAAAGTTTCTTTATAAGAGTGTATACAGAACACTAGCTGAATCAGAAATAGATTATATAATTGTGAATGCTAGTAGCACGCTAATCCGCATGAAACTAGAGCATACATTATAGTCATGTGAGTGTGACTGAATCTGATGAGAGAGAATGTGATTCAGAAGAACATATAACTGCTGAATAATACTACAACTGCTTCTGAACATGCTTCTGAATATGCTTACAAATGTAAAGAGACTCTAGAGGCCACTAATTAATTTAGATAATGTATATAAGAAGCCGGTGTACGCCTGTAATCGTACGCCGACTTAAGCAACCTTTGAATCACACTTTTATGAGATTTTATTTCAACAAGTTTGAAAGCTTTCACTATTGCAAATAGTTCAGTGTCAAAGACTTCAGATTCACAGTCACTTATCAGTCATTCTGACCCTGTAATAAGATCTTACAAGAGAATATTAGTGAAAAACCTAAGAGTTCTGACACTCAGATGTATGAGATATTGATACAATTACACTTCTTCAGATTTCACAGATATTACATATTCAATAAACAACATATCTAACAATAATATAAGAGAACTCTCAAATACAAGCATAGAAGTGATATCACAGTGACTTTAAGCAATGTTGAAATTATAATAGTAATAGATAGCAGACATGCATGTGACTCAACAACTTCAATATAAAGAGATTCAATAATTAACTTAATAAAGAACTCATGTGATTTCAACATCTACAGAATTAAATACAAAAGCACTGAAAGAATGCTTAGATACTCTCATATATTTCAATACTTTTAATCTCACTCTCTACTCATCATGAAGAATGGAAATGCTTGTAAAACTGAGTATAGATGAAGATGCTATTAGTTCATTAATTAATTAAGATTGATATATCAATGAATAATTGAAGAATTGCATGAAACAGAAGTTTTATTCATGAATGAAAGTATGTGAATCAGTGTTACAAACATCTGACAATATCATGAAATATTTTGATATTCTGTTTCAAGACACTGTTATACAATAGAAATCATTAGATTGATTACAGAGTATCTGTCAGAAAAACACTTCTCTTATAACATTGATTCCTGACTTCAACACTAAGATTCTAGAAGCAGGTGATCAATCTTAAGAGAATTAAATAAAGATTAGCATACTCAAGAAGATATTGACTTTCAAACTCTTACAGACTCTTGTAAGCATAGACAAAGACCAGACTTATAAAGATTTCTATACACAACTTCAGACAGTGAATGACTGTCTTATCAAGCTCAAGAATATACAGAACAGTGACAGAAGATATTATATCTCAGTTACTTATACACTGACATTGACATCTGCACTGAAGAATAATAACAATGACACAGATATTATGAACTGAGTAGACTTGAATATCTACACTCAAGCAAGAGTCTTCACTATTTGAATAAGCTTCTGAGTTTCTGAGATCACTTCTGAAGAAGTTGTCAATTAATATCAATGTGAAATATGCATCAACTGTAATTAATCAGAACACATCACTTTCAACTACTAATTGATCTATATATCTTCACACTTAAGAGAAAGATCAGCATCTTCTCACTTGTGTGATTCAAAGGTTGCTTAAGCCAGCGTACGATTACAGGCGTACGCCGGCTTCTTATATATTGTAATATCGTATGCTAAATTAATTAGTGGCCGCTATGACCCCCCCTCTTTACACTCGTACACGTACACTAGTAGTTCGGAAGTGGCCGTGATATTATCTGACAGTCATATGTTCTTTCAAACCACATTCTCTCTCACCAGATTCAGTCACACTCACATAACCATGTCATACATTCTAGCTTTATGTGGATTAGCTCATCACTAGTGTTTCATGATCATATAATCTATCTCTGATTCAGCTAGCATTCTGCATACACTCTTACAAAGAAACTTTCACTATATTACATCACTCATTCACTAACTTTTTCTATTCTTCAATCATCTTCTTCATTATCATTGAATGTCATCATTATTCAAGATTTCTACTTCTTCTTCTGTTCAACTCTTTCTATCTGTTCATCTATCACATTGTACATATTTCTGGCAATGATCTCTCATTTTTATAATAAGCATTATTATAGTGCTCATACCAGGCAGTTCATTAGCAGTAAGTATAATATATTGTGAAATATGATTAAGACTTGTTTATCTTCTAATGATCATCAGAATATATTACTATGAATGATACATCTTCTTCATCTTCTTATACACCTCTGATTATTTCCTTTTCAGTGAGTTTCTGATTGTGTTTTCTGACACAATTTTGCATGAATGCAGATGCTGATATGTTTGTTTTTATTCATGTAGAATCTTCATGTGTTGACAGATCTGCATCTGCTAATGATAGTGAACTCAATGTTAAATCATTGATTGAGAACCTGAAGAATGTCATAATAAAGAAATTATCTGTGTCATGTGTGACTGAGTCTTTCATGTTTCTCTCTGCCTCTTCTGCTGCTGCCTTTCAATCTTCTACACCTGTCTCTGTGTCTGGTTCTCCCACTTCTGCTACTTCTGTTCCTGTGACTCTCACTTCTGCTACTTCTGCTCCCTCTGATTTTACTGTCTCTGCTTTTGTTATCTGCTCTCCCTGTTTCCAGGAGATGTTATGTAGACTTAATGAATCATGTTTATCAGTGTGTATACTCTCACTCTTTCTGTCAACTTCTAGAATAATTTATTGTATAAAGACTGTGTATGACATGACTATCTGAAGCTCAGTTACAGACACTGATTATTATATTTATTTTAAATATTTATGATGAGAGAATTATTTATTCATATCAGAGAATCACTTCTCTTCTCAACAGTGTTGAGATTGTAAGTCTTTTTCTTTTCATCTTTTCTTTCTAACACTGATTTTTCTGTTCTTAGAGAAAATCATTATAAGTTTTGCTGTGTATAAAGTTATAATATTCACAGATATCAAGAAACTTTTCATGACTGTTAAATTCAATATTGTGAGTATATCTGCTCTAATGAATATCTTTGAAATGATCAATCTGTATCAGTCTATTCTTTGATGTTTATTATCTGACTTCATGATGCAGATGAAGAATATTTATGTTTTCAGAAGTGAGAACACAGATGTTGTACTCTTTTACACCTGCGGGCATGAGACTTGTATGTCTTATCTGAAATGTTATCATGGAAATGAGCTGTTTACATGCTGTGTTCTACTTCCTGCATTTCTCTGTGTTTCTCTCTCTCTTTCTGAGGTGTCTCATGTATGTTGTAATTATATGTACAATTCTGAGGCTGGCAGATGTTTATTCAGTAATTGTTATCTCTGCTTTTGTAATTTTTATATACTAATAATGATTCTTAGTTGCTCTGATGTCAGAGATCATTCTAATCAAAGATGATAACACTGCTGAGACTATTCTCTTCTACTCTTAAGCTTCTCTTATTACTTTCTCTCTCTCTTCTGCAGAGAAGATTATGCACATATCAGATTATAAGTGTTCAGCTCTGAGTGACTTCTGCTGTTATTTATTCAGTTCTGTGTCTTCTTCTTCTTCTATTTCTTTCATCTTCACTCTCTCTGTTCTGGCTTCTGATTCTGCAGATTCTGCGCTCTTCTTCAATTTTTCTACATATACATGTATGCATTTCTATATTAGCATTTCAGTCAATCTTGTGATAAATGATATTAATGTTGTATGCAGAGTGATAGAGAAATCAGAGATGTATATAATGTTGTTGTGAGAGTGACTTACAGCTCTCAAATTTCTTACAGATCTTGAGTTTTGATATTTCCTTTGTTTTTGATGTTTTTCAGATGACATGGCATTGAAAATAGATTAAATATGTGATATATAAAAATAAATGAGATATGTATGATAACATTTATCTTTTACAGTCAACTCTTACAGTTAATGATTAATTCATTTTCCTTTTCTTATACTTTTACTTTGTCTGCTAGTCACTACTCTTATACAATCTCTATATAATACAGTGTTCAGTGACTATATTTGACAGCTTTCATCTTTTATAATTCTGTCTTGTGTATTATACTGTCTCTCTTCACCTGCTCAGATTACTACAGTGAACAGCTCATTAAAACTAATCTCACTCAATCTCTGCATGTTCTCAGAGATTGAGATGACTTGATCTCATGCATCTGCAGATGTTTCAGATAGTTTGTTCTCTGTGATCTCTGCAATTGAACTGATATAAACAGTTAAATTCAACTCTGAATTTCTTTTTCTTCTGTGATCTGACTCATGTGCAAGTCTGCTGCTTTAAGACTGCTCTTTATCACATTATACTCACTGTCTATAATGTGTTATTATACAACTGACTACAGTCTTATCACTTATTAAAGTATGATGTTCATCTGATTTCTTCATTACTTCTTATTCTTTTCTTATAATTATGAAAAGATTGAAATAAGTGAGATCATCTGATTTGTAAGTATCTATGATTTCTCTTACTTTGTAAGACTTTTCAATTATAAGTCTCTTCTTTTTCAACACTGATAATAGTACTGTGAATGATTATAATTCACTTAAGTCTTACATCTTTGCTTTCATAAGTCATAAATTATTAATTAAGTTGTATAAGATCTGTCTCTCTGATTCTTTCAATGCATATATTCTCAGAAAATGTGATTTGAGTATTTTATATGACTCAAATCATCTAGATTGAAACTTCTCAGAACTTTCATTGTATATGAGAACTCATTTTCTTATCTTGAGACTTAATTTCTTAACTAGTGAGTCTTGTATTCTTTTCAATTGAATTGCTCAGTTCAGGAGTAACTTACTAGCTTTTGTGTGTGCATGGCTGATCTCTTTCAATCTTGATTCTGTGTCTGTGACTGTTGTATCTGTGACTATTGCATCTGCAGCTGCTGTTTCCTTCTTCATCTTTTCTGAAGCATTCTTCGGGATGCGTAGATGCCATTCATACAACAGGTAGAATGATGAACACTTGAAGACTGCATACTGCTGAATTCGTGTGGCTAATAGCACCTGACTGAGATATTCATCTCATAATCTCATAGACTTGCTCACTAGATATTTTGTCAGCATGTTACTCAAGATTTCATTCAAGTGTTTTATCTTCTTATTTATCTATGAATGATATGATGTTGTTCTATGATGTCTTGTCTGTAACTAGCTCATGAAATGCCTCACTACTTCTTCTATGAGATTTGCACTGTTATTAGTTAGAATCTCACATGGCATTTGATAGTTGATATAGATCTCATTATGTAGAATCTTCATCATCATCTTCTCTATCACTTCTGAAACTGCTTTCATAACTGACCAGCCAGTAGTGTAATCAATAGCAGTGATTATTCATTGATTTTCATTTGACATTCACAGTAATATATCTATGAGATTCATCTCTTATTATTTGAACAGTTGTATTATACACTTTATCTAATGTTACACTTTCTCACATTCTAACTCTTTCTTAGATTCTTTCACAATCTGATAATTCAGGCACTTGTGAGCATACATCTGAATGTTCTCAGCCATGCTTGACCAGTATACTCTTGATTTGAGTATACTCATGAGTTCAGAACTTTCTAAGTGACTGAATTTCTTATGCATGTGAGCTATCAAGTTGTATTGAAATGAAGATTCTAGATAGAGAGCTTCTATGTATTCTAGATTGTAATAAAGCACAATGTCATTTTTCAATTTCCTCAGCTTGAAGTTTGAAAGCATCTCTTCTACTACTTTTATAAGATACTTGTTATTCAATATCTTGTCATTCTTCAAGTAAGAGATCATGATGTTCACTCATTCTGATTCCTTGCATCTTCTCAGTGTGTTTAATATGAACATCTCTTATATCTGATTTACAGAACTCTCACTCATGAAATCAGGTCTGTAACTGATTGTATTAGATATCACAGTGTCTGATCTCTTTCAGTATTTGATATGAAGATTATACACTTAGAACTCTGAGATTCAACATGCTAAGTGTTTGAAAGGTTTTATCATCAATTATAGATAGACAAGGCTTTTGTGATCTGTGATCACTGTTATTGTATATCTGTTGTCAATATATCTATCTCATAATACCAGTACATACTTGATTGTTAGTAATTTCTTTTCATACACTGAGTAATTGAGCTCAGTGCCTGATAGTTTTCTATCATTATATGTCACTGAGTGCAGCTTGCTGTTCTTGTTCATCTGTAGAAGAGTGTCTTCAATAGCTCATTTGAATGCATCTGTCTTGATGTAGAAAGATTTATCATGATCTGATTAAATAAGCACTGAGAATGTTATTATACATTTTCTCAGTGTGAGAAAAGTCTCTTCACATATAATATTTCAGATAATTGAATGAAACTTCTTCTTTCACAGATTTGTATTTATTTCTCTTAAGAGATCTGAGAGTGATGCAGATATTCATGTAAAATCCTTGATAAATCTGTGATAGTATGAGACTAATTCAAGAAACTGTCATACATGATGTATATTTCTCAGCCATGATCAATTTACTATGATATTCAATTTCTCTGAGATGAGATGTATACAGTCATCACTCACTATATATTCTATGAACTTCAACTCTTCTGTTTCAAACACATACTTGATTGATTTAATGTAGAGCTTATACTCTGTCAGAGTTGTAAGTACTTTATCAAGACACTTCAGATAATTAATGTATGAGTTTGAAAAGACTAGAATGTCATCAAGATATATGAGATATGAGGTTTTATTCTATTTATAAAGAATTATATTCATTATTATTTGAAAGATGACAGATGCATTTATCAGACTGAATGATATTATCAGAAATTCAAACTTCTCTCATTGTATATTAAACACAGTTCATGAGACTGACAGTTTGTCTACACAGATCTGTCAGTATTCTGAGAGAAGATTGATCTTTGATAGATATCAGGCATTTTCAACTGTATTCAACTGTTATTGAATCTGTGATAGTGAATATTCATTCTTGATGATAAGCTTGTTAAGTACTTGATAATTAATATACATTCATCACTTCTCATCTGTCTTTTTCACAAATAGAACTGAAAAGTCTCACATACTTGATGAGAATTATATAAGATCATATTCTAGAAGATCTGTGATCTGATGCTTCTGTTCTTTGAAATGTGTTTGTGACAGAGGATATGCATTCTGATTGACTGGTTTTGTGTCCTCAGTGTTAATCTCATGTAAAAATTCTCATTTCAGCAGCAATTTCAGTGAAAGATCTGTTCAGAAGATCTTCTCATACTTCTTCAGAAGCTTCTTTATATGCTTGTTCTTCTGCATATTCTTTATCTTGATTTTCTTCACTTCTGGGTCCTGTATGACATACAGAATGCTTTCAGATAAGATCTTGCAAATCATTCTCTTTGCTTATTGATATATAAGCAGATTTAACTCTTTTATATCAGAGATATGGAATATTCTTCTCATATCAGTTGATAGAATTGTATAAACTGTTTTCTTTCTATCAGTCAACTGTATATAATATGTATGTCATTGAATCTGCAGATTGAACATTTGAAATCAATTAAGTCTGAGAATAAGATTATATTCCATGTTCTGCAGCTCTCACACTCAAATATAGCAAGATCATTCTCTAAAGTGCAAGAGAACTCTTACTCTTGTGAGTGATATTAAATATCAGTTATCAGATAATCTTATATATCAGAGATTCTTCACTCAGTGAACCTCTTTCAATCTTCAGATTATATAATTATTAATATATTATGTAGAAGCTTCTGTATCTGCTAACACTTTTGCAGTCATCTCTTAATTCTTATTTAAGTGTCTCTTATACATTAACATTTCAGGCCTCAAGACATTGAGATGAGTGTTCACTTCATTCTCACTCATATCTCAGTCAGAAGCCTGCTTTCTCTTAATGTTTATAGAATTCAGAGAATCATCTAACATGAGCATCTCTTTCACTTTAAAGACTTTTCATAGAATATCAGTGAGTGTCTCTGAGCTCACTGATTCTGCTAGTTTTTTAACTCTCTTACTTCTCTTGACTGTGTACACTGAGTGCAATCTTTTACATCATGATTTTAACATTTACAGTTGAAGCAAGTTTGATGCTTATAATATCAAGGTTTTCACTCAGAGAATTTCTTTTTTGAGAGATTCAGTGCTTTAGCAATAGTATTCAGATCTAGATTCATCATATTCAGATATGTAACTTATGGTATAGAAGTCTGATTATTCATTCTTCACTGAGATATACTCAATTGCAGTATTTTCTATTATAATTAACTCACTTGTTTCTGTATAATGAGAATATTATATACTTTCTTCACTGTGTCTGACTGTGAGATTAAGCATTTTCATTTCACTCTCAACTTGAGTGTAAGATTATGAATGAAGATCTGTAAATAGAAAGATGTTGAAAGCTCTTCATTTAATATAAGATAGTGTAAGCTGAAGTGTGTGAAGTATGATATAAGATTACTTACTTATCTACACTCAGTGAAGTGTTTGTAATACTTATCTTATATATTCACTTTCTCAAAGTTGTACAAGATTCATTTGAAAAACTCATTTTATATTTATGAGAATGAATATCACTTCAGATCTGTAAGATTTATCTTTTCATTAGTTATTTACAATGACTTTGTTTTTCTGTGTAGAAATATAACAGATCTTAAGACTTGTTAAAATTCTGTTGACTGTCTGTCTGTGAGTTCATACTTAATCTGATAATATAATCATATCTGACTTAGTCAGCTGATTGCAGCATCATTTTTTCAGTTATTATTAAAACTTAATAACTTCAGCAGATCTTCTGACTTGATATATTTCATGCTTAGATTCTTATTCTGCACAGTGATCTCTGATAATGTATATGCTTCTGAAGAGATCATGAACAATTGTGATGAAATCTTCAGATTCATTGTAGTTATCTATCTATGTAAACATTTAATCTTCTGCTGCAGGCCTAAGATCTGGTTTTCTCTATTCTTATTAATGATGATGATTGCATTGACAAAGCTCTTCATAGTGAATACTTAATTCACAGTGAATGTCAATTGTTGTTTGACTTCTATCTCACATTATATAACTTCAGTGATGGCCACGCCTCTCTTTTATTTCTTTGAGTGAAGAGTGATCTTCTTTGAATCTGATTCACTGCTCTCATTCTTTTTCTCATACCTCATCTGTTCACATATGTGGCATTTGCCTGAGTGTGGAGTTTTCCCTTAATAAGCAAAGCAGTATTAATCAGATGCTCTTTCACTCATCACTCTTCATACAGTATCTTTTGAGACATTTCAGTACCACACTGACATGATAACTATGAATCACTTCATAGATGGAATTATCACACCCTGAAGAAGTCTGCACTTCTCACTGATTTTTAGACATACTATTAGATGTGATTCAAAGGTTGCTTAAGCCAGCATATGATTACAGGTGTACGCCGGCTTCTTATATATTGTAATATTGTACACTAAATTAATTAGTGGCCGCTATGACCCCCTCTCTTTACACTCGTACGCGTACGCTAGTAGTTCGGAAGCGGCCGCGTTATTATCCGACGGTCGTACGTTCTTCCGAACCACACTTGAGAGAAAGATCAGTATCTTCTCATTCAAAGAATGAATCAGTGTCTGTTCATGTCAATCACATTGCAGTGAAGAATAGACTGACCGTGTGACCGTGTCTGAGACCAGGATCAAACTTTACAGTTGTCACATTGCCTAAAAGCATTACTTCTGGTCATGGTTTGTGTTCATTACATTGATTTCAAATCCTGTTATTTCAAATATTAAAGATTTCAGATTCACTTTTCAAATAAAAATCTAGTCTCAGATAAAGAATATGTTTGAATTCTTAGTCACATTTTCATTCTGATCTCATTATTGAAAATGACATTAAATGAGACTATGAAATTATTTCTCACTTACATAATATCATAATATAGTACTCATTTGTTGAAAATTCAACAGAGAGTGTTATCAAATATTATTACTTTTCTGAACACAGATTATAATCAATATCATTTTAATTAAAAAAAAAAAATGTACAATATAAAAAATAACAAAAAAACAAATAATAAAACAACAAGAAAAAATCACAATAAAAAAAAAAAAAAAAAAAAAAAAAAAGAGAAAGAAAAAAAGAAGAGAAAGAAAAAAAGAGACAGAAAGAGAAAGAAAAATAAAAAAAAAAAAAGAAAAGAAAAAGAAAAAAATAAAAAATAAAAACAAAAAAAAATCAAGATTACAGAGCTGCAGCACTTTTAAAATACTCACTTCTCAGAGTCTTTGTAATATTCATCATTAACTGTGTATTTCTCACAGTGAGAGTAACATGACTGTGATGAGTCATTGTCTTAACATCATCTAATAAATAATCAGTATATATCTATATAAATGTGAATAATTAGAAAATATACACTTAAAAAGTGTGGCCAGGGTGAACTCTGCTGCCACTTGAATGATATCAAGAACAGAATGCTGAAATCAATGATTTCTCTCATCAATTTCACAGACAAGGCATGTGAAGATGATCTTGAGAAATATAAGATTCTCAGACTTCTGATAGAAACAGATCTCATAGAGAGACTCTATTTTCATCATATCAGAGACTGAGTATTATCAAAAAGCATTACTTCAATGCATATGCACTTACTGCAGCAATTCACTCTCTGTGCATATGACTGAGAGTTGCAGCTTTCTCACGCTGCACAGCTCTCTCTGGGATGCTGCTGCTGGTTTGCAACTCATGCAGTCTCTCAGTCCAGCACATGCTGCGCATATGCAGCCCTGCATGCTGGGGCTGTGTTGGCCATTATGGCCTGGTGTGGTACTCGCTTTTCGCGGGCCATGTTTCATTTGATTGAAGGGGGAGAGGGGGACATAACTGCTGTTTTATTTGAGAGAAGATGAGTAATTGAATCTGTAGAAGATAATTTGATTTCTTCTGTATTTGAAATTTGATTAGTCTATACTCTTCAATTTGAGGATTTCTGAGAGTGTTTTAATAGTTTTCATATCAGCTTGAAATTAGTGATTGATTGAAGAAGAGAAAAGAGAGAAGAAAGAAATGAGAATAACTTATCTTTATAATATGAAAACAGAGAATTGCTGTAATTATTTGTTCTAGTAATAAAGATCTGTTTTCTGCATGTATCTCTGATACAGATTATATAATAACTGCATACAAAGAATATCAACAGTGCATGCATTGAATGAAGATAATATTGCTATACAACACTGTAGCTGTTTCTGTACATCACTGAAAGCTGTTAATATTTTCTTTGAGTCTCTTTATATTTGATAAGTCAGTAATATATTTCAATGCACTCTCTCTTTCATCATCATCATTATCATCATCATCATCATTATCATTACTATTATCATTATTACTATCATCATCATCATTATCATCATCATCATCATTATCATTATCATCATTATCATCACTATCATCATATCATTTCTGGCCGCCTCTTCTGTCTTCACCTCTCTTCAATGCTCACCGAAACCAATCATGTCATTCCTCTTCAAATATTCTGCGGTCCTGCGGACCACCAAGGCGTGTGAGCACTGTCACAGATTGAAGAGAGAGAAGAAGAAGACATTTAAGCAAGAGGAGACAGATTGTAAGACATGTTATAATGTCTTGAAGAGACTCTGTAAGAGAGTAGAATGATAACAATTTTAAGTAATACTTCTGATAGATTTAGACTGAACTAAGTATAGAAATAATGTGGATGATGCTGCCTGTGAGAGATTGAAGAAGAAGATAGTAAAGAGTCTCATACAGTAGTGATGAGATCAGAAGAAGTTCTGAGAATGATTTAAGACTAAGATAAAGAGAGAAAGAGAGAAGAAGAGTATTACTGTAAATAAGTAATGATAGAAGAAGATTGAGAGAATGTTGAAGTAGAAGATAAAGAAGTCAAAACTGATAAGTTTTTTATTTATTGAGAGATAACAATTTTTGATAACACTTCTGTTCTCTAATTGATTAGCAGAAGCTGACAGAGAAGAAGAGAATTGAGGTCTTGTTCAGGTCTTGAATGTGCTTCATGATTCAGAATATTGAGAAGACAGCCCTGCTCTCTGAGCATGCCAATCTGCTTATTACTGAGATGAAACCCGAGACAGCAGATCAGAAAATGCGGGATTTTGAGGCACAGGTTGACCTGGCTGAGAAGGAGCAGCAGAAACCCTTCTCTGAGAAGATAGCAGAGAGAGATTTTGAGATGATTATCATCTCAGATGAGGAGGAGAAGAAGAAGAAGAAGAATGAGAAGTGAATTATAAAGAATGATAAGAAGAATAAGAAAGAGAAGAAAGATGATGAGTAGAAAAAGTTTTTTTCTTTTTATATTAGTTAGTTGTAAGTTCATAATTATTAATAATTGAAATTAATTTTGAGTTTTTAAAAATTATTGTACAAGTTGTAATCAAGTCAGGAACAATATATATATATATATATATATTTAACTATCATGATTCACAAATCACTATAATGTATAAGTATCAACATTTTTTCAACATTGATATTCACAATATTAATATATTTTTAATGATATTATCTGATAACACAATTTAGTAATGCTCTCTTTCACAATATTAATATATTTCAAGAAATATAACAGAGATTAATCAAGATTATTTGTTTACTTTTATACATTGATGATATTCAATCTGAGTTAGTACTAAAATTATAACTAAGCTAAGAAACAAGATTATTTTCTCTTATATTAATTCTTCTTACACACATCAGTGATCAGTTATTGAAAATAAATTATTATCTTTCTCAAATTATTATTATATCTTCTGAATTCACTTCTTTCACTTCTTTTACTTCTATTGAAGATTCACAAACTCTTCAAGAAATCACTGTGAATCACAAAGTCTATGTTATTTACAATTCAATACAGAATGCTCTCTTTCAATTATAATGAATGATCACTTCATTCTTCATATCTGATTTCAGGTCACAAAATTTATGAAAAACTCAACACAAATATTGAGATGAACTATGAAATAATTATCAACAGATTGCATTGCAGATTACTGAAGAGTTATCTCTCTACTACAATCACTGCAACTTCATTCAGAAACATTCATTATAAACTGATCATGACTTTGAAGAAATTTCCTAACATCTGAAGTCATCAGAATGCAGATAATAAAAGAAAAATAATCAGAAAATTACTACTGAGCTGGTAAGTTGCTCTATCAGATAACAATTTTTGATAATACTAACTTTCTAATTTGAAGAAAATCATGTGAAAATGACTCTGTATCAGTACTCTGATTTCACAACTCTCATCTGATAACTTCTGTGAACAATTACTTTGTATATGTATATCTCTGAATCTTTCTCTTCAATCAATTGAAAACCCCGAATTCTGAACACTTCTTCAAATGCTTAATTCAAATCTTCATATTTCACATTGATTCTGTCTTCAGTTCAATCTCAAGACACACTATAAAGTCAATATACAATATCTAGAATCAGAGTTGAAGAATCATTGAAGAGTGTCTCTCACAGTGAATGCATGAACTAGTACAAACAATCTTGCATTTATAAGAGTTATATGTTATTATATTGATGAGAACTGAACTTATTGAGAGACATTAATTGAATTTGAATCATTGATCAGTAGTCATACTGAGGATTATATGACAGAGATATTAATGACTGTGATTAAAAATGACTATTGAGATATTAGTCCCAGTCTTCTTATAATTACAACTGACAATGCTGTGAATAACTACACTATGATGAAGAGCTTGAAGCAAAAATTGACTTTGCATTTATAAAATGATAAACAAGGTCATATTCCCTGCATTACTCATGTGATTCAACTTATGATATAAACACTGATAAAGAATCTTAACATCAAGATGAAAAATAATGAGATGGCTGATTCTTGAGATGAGAATGAGATGAAAGTGATTACTCAAGTAACTTTTGCATTCACTTTGTAAAAGATAATATTTTTTGATAACACTTTTTAATATTGCTTTTTAATAATACTTTTTAATAACACTACTGTTAATTTTGAATAGATTGACTAATAATTTAAATATCATAAATTTGAAACATTGCTAATGTGATTTGTATCTCTTCTAAATAATAACAACAATTTCATGATATTTAATAAATAAATAAATCAGTCACATCACTGAATATGATACAGAATGTTAGAATATGATGAAGTTCAATATATAAGATAACTGTTCAGACTCTTTGATTGCATCAGACAATTAATCATTGAGTGCAACACTCTGATCAGAAAAAGATTCAGATATTGAAACTTTCTGATATGAAGTGAACTCAGTTGAAATATGTGATTGATTTACTGTTTTAGTTTTATAAGACAACAAAGACAGTCTTAATCACTTGTACACCAATGCTGCAGTCAGTCTGATGAGTGTATAACAGTTTATTTACTCATCTTGAGAAGCAGTTGAATCACTCAAAAAGAAATTCAGTCTGAAATGATGCTATAGCACAGGCTATTATTGCTGTAAGAGATAAACTGACATATTACTACAGTAAAACAGAACAATCTTTTGCAGAGTACTATGCTGTAGCAGCTCTACTAGATTTCTTCTGTCAAGTTAATATCTACACTTCTCAAGATTGAACAGAGGAGGAATGAGACTCATATATTAAATTAGCCTGAGACTACTACAATGCTAACTATCAGAGATTTGAACAAGCAGATGTTTGAGATGTGAAGACAGTGAAATACAATTCTCTAGTAAGTAACAATCTTTGATAATACTTCATATCACATAGAACTATAATACTAACTTTGAAACAGAACTTACATACATTGATTGCAACCAAAAATCAGGTAAAACTACATACTTGTAAAACTGAATTTGACTGCTATCTTCAAGATAATCTGACAAATTTACACATCAAATCAATTCTAGAGTTATGAAAAATTGTTGAGAGTACATATTCAACTGTTGCACTGATGACACATGATATTCTGACAATTCCATTGACAGGGGTGAGAATGAAGTGAAAGTTCAACTCAAGTTCAGATATTTATCACTATTATCAGGGACAATTACAAGGAGAAATAATCAAGAAACTCATGATTATAAAACATGGAATTATCAGACAGTTTAATACCTCTGATCACAGTATATCAGAGAAGTGTAGTTTTCATGAGAAAGTGAAGAATAAACTTGTACAAGAATGTATTTAGTTGTTTCATGAGCATTATCAATAATTGTTACCAAATTCTGATTATATAAGCAATCACTGAATGAACTGAATGAGACTGATTTTAATCTTCAGTCTCAGTCTCATTCTGATTTTGAAAGAATGATCATCTTTCACAGTTTATCCTGGAAAATTACTCTCATTTCACTGTTCTTGAATTAAATCTGGTCATTTTTCACACCATTTCTCTCAGAAATGGTTCATTTTCAGATTTTTTTGAGGCTTGGTCCTGGTGGGACTCACGCCAAGAAATGTATGGGACCAGACCAAATGGGACCAAATGTGAAATTCATGGTCCCGGCGGCCAGTCTAGTGAAGAAAGATTCAGAAGATAACTATAAGAATGCTCTGATTAAACAGAGAAAAGATTAACTTCTGTTCAAATTTGTAAACAGAAGCTTGAAGAGATTGAATAATAACAATTTAAAGAGAAAATAACAATGAATGTGATTCTTGTATCTACTGTAATTGATAATATGGATAATATGAAAGTCATAATAGACAGTAATCTATGTCACTATACAATGATAAAATCTTCAGTTGTAAGATGTTATAATCTTCAGTATATTTTCTTATTAAAACTCTGACTTCTTGCAGAATTTGATGATTCAAAAGATGTTTGCATCTGTTATATAGTGAAACTAAACATAGATGTTGAAGAATATTAACATGAAGATGTCTATATATATGAAGTCAATAATCTCAATTATAATCTTATATTAGAACTTACCTGACTATCTGAACAAGGTATCTTATTAAATGCTTAAGACAGAAGCTTGATATTTTCTAATAATAATAGAATTCATGAACATAATATTCACAAGACTATGAATCTTACACAGATCTCTGTCAATGCTTACAAAATACTTTAAAAAAGAAGTTATTATCAAAACTGCTGATAAAATCATTAACAGCAGAATCATGTGTCAATCTATTTCATCAGTCTGATCAATATTAAAAAGACTGTAGAAAAGTGATTCTGTATTATAATAACAGATTCTTGTATAAAACTATCTTAATAATATCATGAATATCTAGATAACTTTCAATAAGATAATAATGTTACAAATCTATCTCTCTTACAAGATTCAGAAGTGAATCACAGTATCAAGTTGAAAAAGAAGAATGATAAGAACTCTGAATCATTATGAGACTCTCTTTATAATATGTTCTGAGATGAACTTCTTCTTCTTCAAAAGACACTCAATGATCTGTTAAATAAAGAATTCATATATATTAGCAACTCTTTCATCACAGTCTCTATTCTCTTTGCAAAGAAACTGAGTGAAAAACTTCAATTCTGCATAAATTATCAAGAATTGAATAGATTAATGAAGAAGAACTGTTATCCTTTATCTCTTATCAATGAAACTCTAGCTCATACTGAACAAGTTCAATGATTTACAAAGTTAGATATTATCACTGTGTTTCATAAGATCTGTATCACTGAAGAAGATAAGTGGCTTACACATTCTGAACATAATATGATCTCTTTGAATTAAGTAGTCACACTCTTTAAACTGGCTAATGCTCTCAGTACATTTCAGAATTATATTAACTGAGCACTCTGAGATATTCTTGATAAATTTATATCTGTATATCTTGATGATATTCTCATCTTCACTGATGAGTTTAGCAAAGAATATCAAGAATATGTATAAAAGATATTACAATGACTAGACTGACTGTGTGACCGTGTCTGAGATCAGAATCAAACTTTACAGTTATTATATTCTCTAAAAGCATTACTTCTGATCATGATTTGTGTTCATCACATTGATTTCAAATCATGTTATTTCTAGACTGGCCGCCGAGATCATGAATTTCATGTTTGATCTCATTTGATCTGGTCTCATACATTTCTTGGCGTGAATCCCACTGGGACTGGCTATCAAAAAAACATGTAAAGTGACTATATATCAGATCTTAAAATGGAATCATGACTTGAAAAAAATAAGAAAGTGATCTCATTTGATTTCATTTAGTTCTATTCTTGGCATAAAGTTACTATTTTTAGACATTTTAAGGTTTTTTTTAGACTATTTTTAATTTTTTAAA